GTAAGTAACAAAATGACGGGGCCGGGATTAGGCTGGGTGCTAAGAAGGGTGACCCAGAACTTGCCTCCCACCATCCTTGTCTCTCCCCCCCCTGCAGTTGGCTTTGGCCCTGCTGATCGCAGTCACCTGGACAGTCCTGAGGCTCGAGAAGCCATGTTCCTGAGACGAGCAGGTAGGTTGGGGACCACCAGGACCCCACATTTGTCCAGGCACACTAGTTTAGGTTTAGAAACTCCAGCTCCTTGCCTGAGTCTGCTTTAGATTCCTCTCTCTGCGCTGACGGTGTCTTAAGTACGCACCGGCGGCATACTTCCTCATTGCCTCAAGTAGGTTTGTTCTCCATCTTAGTCCTCTGCTGTCACTCCTCATTGGACTCCTTGACAATGTCCCCAGCTTTTCTCACCTTCTGGCAAGCTCTCGAGTTTGCTTACTGGGCTTAGCACCTTTTGCTTCCTCAGACTAGCAAGCTTTCTGAAGGACAGAACTCTTGATTTTTGGCACATAGTAAGCTTGACATAACTAACGGTCCAGATTAGCGCCAGGCAACTCACTAGTGGTCAGGACCCTTTGTGGCCTGATCCCCCAGCACACTCAGGAACTCCAAGCATGGCTGAGGAAATCAAGGAGCCTTCTCTCTTCTGCTTCGTGTCACTCAGCTGTAACCTTGAAACCTTCCTGTCTTTAAAACAGTCATTTTCCACTCACATTTTCCACTCTGGTCATTCAGGTGTATACATACATACATACATACATACATACACACACACACACACACACACACACACACACACACACACACACGCACACACACACACACACACACACACACACACACACACACACACATACATACATTCAGGTGCATACATACACACACACATACATACACACACACATACACATATGTACACACACATACATACACACACATACATACACACATACACATATATACACACACATACATACACACACACACACACACATACATACACACACACACACACACATACATACATACACACACATACACATATACACACACACACACACATACATACATATACACATACATACACACATACATACACACACATATACATACACACACATACATACATACACACACACACATACACACACACATACATACATACATACACACACACACATACATACATACATACTCTGGTCATTCAGATATACACACACAAGCACATACTGTTGTTTTTTATGACGTAACTTAACGAGAATGTGTGGTGAGGTGTGTTCTCATTTGGGTATAAAGTTCTGTTGATTGTGTTTATAATACTGTTATGCTTCTGTTGTGCTGGGGATGAGCCCAGGGCCTCACTTGTGCTCTATACTGTGCTCCATCCAAGCCCTTAGCTCTTAGAAATAAGACCGTACTATGCAGCCCAGGCTGGCATCAAACATAAATCCTGTCTTACCTCCTGAGTATAACAGTTACTGGCATGACTTTGTAATCCCCGTCTTTTTAATCTGATGATTACTGATAAACGTTAATGTCTATTCTCTAGTAAGTTATCAAAATGAAAATCTGACTTGGTGACTCTGCCCAGATCCCTAACCTACGAGGATCCCATGGCTCAGCCAGGAAGGCTGCTTTGATGCATCCCAGTTTTTCTCTTGGGATTGCCCAAACCCCCATTTCCTCTGAGATACCACCTATACTTTAGGGGAAAGTTTTCCTTATATACACGCTTTCTAGCGGTGATATTCTACTCACACTTTGCTTGACTTTTAATTTTCCTGAGATCCTAGCTCTATGGGTCCCTTTTTCCAAAAGGCCTCAAGTCCCCTGGCTAGGTCTGGCCTCTGACAGCTCCCTGAGCTGCCCTTCTCTGGCAGTATATGGATTTCCTCCTCCCCTGGACCCAGAGCTCCCTGGGACCCCGTGGTCTGCTGGATTCCTAGCACTGTTTACAACAGGCTTGAGCCCACAGGAAGTCCTGCAAGTCAGTTTGCTGAGGAAAGCAATGTCGAGACCACCTCATCTCCCAGGAGGGTCCCCAGCCTCTCCAGGATTTCTTGGTTGCTCAGATCACCTTCACAAACACCTTGTCCCAAGTGTCCCTGTCTCCCATGACACCCCCATCTCTCTCTCCCACAGCTGTGGCCCCTCAGAGGGCCCCTATCCTGCGTCCAGCCTTCGTCCCCCACGTGCTACAGAGAGCAGGTGAGGGGCCAGGGTCATGATCCCTGCCAAGCAATTTCCCCCAAGCCCTGGGACTCCCCCACTAACACCCTGACAGATTCTGCTCTCTCTTCTGCAGCAGGTGGCCCCCGACCTATGGCCCTGAGGCCCCCACACCAGGCCCTGGTTGGACCCCCTCTGCCTGGGCCTCCTGGACCACCCATGATGCTGCCACCTATGGCTCGGGCCCCAGGACCACCCCTGGGCTCTATGGCTGGTCTAAAACCTCCCCTGGTAAGTGAGGTCTGACTACTATCGTTATAGGTACAGTGGGCAGGGGGCTCCCAGGTCTGACTCACTGTATTTAAGTCTCTCCCCGACTTTGCTTCTGTTCCTTTATACTGCTATTGTTTCATTTCCTTGTGAGACAAAAATCTTTGTTTTCTTTGCTCTTTGGAGACAAGAACTTGGTATGTAGCTCAGGCTGGCCTGGGCCTTGGAGTCCTCCTGCCTCAGCCTCCCAGGCCGTGAGGGTAGAGGCATGTGGACCGTGGCCAGCTTTCCCCTATGTGCAACAGAGCATAAAGAGAAACACTGTTGTGAATTATTTCCATGTGTTTCTGTTTTCCTTTGATTCTGTCTTTGTCCCTGTACACATTCACCTGTGTCCGTCTCCCTTGTCACCTGTGGTTTTCTGTGTCCAACTGATAAACCTCTTTGTTCCCAGTCCCTTGCTTTGTACACAGTGGGGGAATTAAGAT